AATCCATCAATGTTTTGAGTATGTCTGACCAATAAAAGTTAAGGTGTGTAACCATGTTTCATACTCTGGTATGTGAGAAGTGATCATGAAACCAAACAAGTTTCAGGTTTTTCACTAAAAGTACTCATTCATTTATTAGTGACTTAATTGTTGCCCAACATTGATATGTCATTTGTTGCCATGGTGGCAAACAGTTGTCCCCACGTCCTTGTTTAGCCGTGCTTTATATGTCAGGCTGCAGATGGACGAAGCCAACTCAAAGTACAGTCTAGCTTCAAATGACTTTTTTTTTTTTTTAGCTCTAAAACAGATAAGTAGAACAAATTGCCTCTCATCCAAAGTAATGGTTCATAATTATTTGCTCAGATAAAAGGGGCTTCTGGGTGCAAAAAAAAGTGCTGGAAGGCTTTTCTGTCTGTGTGGCAAGCAGACCATTGATCTATCTGGATGCAATCTCACTGGGCAGAGGTGAAAACAGCTACACAATAACAAGTTTTCTTCTGGCACATTTTGCGTCAAACTTTGAGAAACTTCATATGAAGTTTGTAATGAGTAAGAACGAGCTGCAATAAACTTCACAGATTTGCCCTGCAGGACTTTGAAAGAGCAAATCTTATTGTCATGTCCAAAATCTTAGAGAGCTCACCAGGAAGTGGTGTTATAGACAGCCATGTCCAGGTTGTACTGCTTCTGTGTTGCCTGTTCTGCTGTTTTTGCCTGCTTTTAACTGAGTAGTGCAACAGCACAAGATTGCCAAAGCACAGCGCTTAATAGACGTGAAAAAAACAACTGAAATAGAGTAAATGTGACGATCGTTTACTCTGGTGATCATCTTAGAATTTAATATTCTCTACAACTTGTAATATGATTCTAAGGTGGTGCGTACAACAAATGTCTCTTTAGTGGAAAGTGCCATTGAGGTCAAGTTTTCATTTTATTGTAAACTCACCTTTTTTATTTTCTAAGTATTAAAAACATTTTAATGTACAAAAAAAGTAATCTGAAACTATTTAGAAAATACATTTAGACAACTAAAGGTCTAGCATACCTTGAATGAATGCATGCCATCTGCTGCCTTTCATGCCAAAGATTTTGACTAAGACCATCTAATGTAGAAAAATTACAAAGATGCAGCCATTTCTTTGGTCAAACTACGGAAATATAAATATTCACAATTCTATGTGATAGCACCAAATGTCACACTCAGAATACATGCTGTGAATGGCTCTTATCTACTACCACAAAAGTTGAGCCCAGAATATCTATAAAACTGATCTATAGTTGCGAAAGCTAAGGCTAACTATGGTGGCCATCTTGAATTGGGTAGACTACAAAAAATATTCCGTAGCAGAAAGTAATCAGTAGATTTGCATGTACAAGTTTGATCAAATTTTGTTCAGTGGTTCAATAGAATGTTTTAACAGGCACAGGCATCCACAAATACCATCTTCTGCTGTTGCATTTTGGTGGCAGGCAAGCAACAGTATTAGGATGTTTTGCAGTTGCCATGAATTTGCAACAGACTATAAATCTATGTTTAAGCTTTTAGCATGTTTGTATGGTTGCTGTATTGCTTTGAGTTGCCTTGAACATAATACAGAGACTATGCTTAAAGTTTAATATTTGGAAATATTCATAAACAGGCAAGTCATCACCCACAGCTACCAACGTTCATTACATATAAACTAAAATGTAAGTGAAAACAATTAGCCTCTGTAAACCAATGCAAGCGTTCAACATTTTGCATGCTTATCCTAAATCCTATAGTGCTCACAGCAGCTAAGAATATCCAGATGACGCCTTGAGTTGGCAGATGACAGATGGCCTCAGGGCCACTCTATCACCAATGAATCAAACTGCTCTGGCAAACAGCACCTTTCTCAATATCTCCTCCTGCCATTCAGCTCCAACTCATGCTTCTTTATTATCTGTATGAGAGCTAGAAATCAATGAGTAATCACATTCACACTGTCTTTGGCTACAGACATTGGGGGAACACATGGGCATGCATTCAAATAATTGTGAGTCTTTGTTTTGAATCCACAGAAGTCTAATTCACAATCTGTGTTGCGCTCGTCAGAGCCGACTCATTTTCAATCAGTTAGCATCGCAGGATATTTGGTTAGTGCAGAGATTGTGTTGCTTTGTTGTATAGTTTGAAACAGCAAGTGCAATTTTGAAGCTTTATTCCCCTCTGCAGTTGCTGATGCATACCTCAGAGCTAAAGTATCGAAGAACATCCATGATCAGAACAGTTTTTATGCTCATTTTACTATTTGAGGCTGTTGAAAAGAAGAATGCACTGTGTTTTAGTTACATGTTAGTAATACACAGCAAACAAAAAAGGCATACCGTGTTCAGGAATGTAACATGTTTTATCACGACAGCAACTTCCAGCATTGGCATATTCCAATATTTGGATTGTAAACAGCTTCAGTTATTCATTTGAGAACACCGCTGTACCAACAGAGCCACATCAGCATACAATGAAAGCTTTTTATTGTTGCTGCTCCTGTGTTTGATCCAAGTAACCCTAATTATTTTTCTGCTCACATCTGCACAAGTTAAATAGAACTACCTGTATCTTTGGACAAAGTACCACAAGCCTCCGCTTTAAAGATGCACATCTTACCACATCTGAATTGGGCGATGTGGGAAACGGCTCCAGCAATTCCTGCAGATCACAGCCATTAAGTATTCATTTTGTTTTTTTATCCCTTTTGAAAAATGCTTGTGAAATGTGTGGAGACAGCAGCTTGCCCATCTCAATTATTCAAAACACTCCAGCATTGTGGCTAACGAAAGAGTTGCGCACGATAGTGCATAAACATTGTTTTTAAGAGACTGCCCACTTCTTGAATTCTGATCAGCTTCGTTTCCCCCTTTTTTGTTTCCCTTCAAAATGTACAATAATACACAATTTAATTGCACATTTGTTTTTCTTAAAAGTAACTAAAACAAAATAGTGCTAGGAGTTAGATATCATTAAAAGGCACAAAAAAGGTAGACATTTGAGTATATATATATATATATATATATATATATATATATATATATATATATATATATATATGTTTATATATAAACAGCTTAAATTAGCAAAAAATAAATAAACGCTGAAACATTGCTGAAAATGTAGAAGAAGCATAAACCAGCAGGAGAAAGCAGAAAGAACACAAAAGTTGAAACAAGTGCAAAAAAGGTGGAATTAGCTGAAAAAGTTAATATTAGTATAAAAACAGCTAAATAGTAGCTGAAATAACTGAAACTAGCAGAAATAAGCTGAAAGAAGCATAACAAGTTGAAATTAGCAGAAATAATTTAATTAGCTTGAAAGTAGCAGAAATTACCATGAAAAACTTGAATGTATCTGAAAACAGCTGAATTTAGCTAAAATATGCTAAAAGCCTAGCTGAAAAGGTAGAATAAAATTAAATTAGCAGAAGAAAGCAGAAATAACATATTTGTATAATTAGGCTGAAAGAAGCAGAAATGAAAACAAAAAGTGGAAATTACCTGAAAAAAGCAGAAATTAACATAAAACAGTTGAAAAGTAGCTAAAAATTGCAGAAAGAAGCTATAATTACCAGAGGAAGGTGGAGAGAACATTTTTGCTGAAATAGGCTGTAAAAGGTGGAATTAGCTGAAAAGGCAAACATTAGCATAAAAACAGCTAAATAGTAGCTGAAATAAAATAAAAAGTTGAATCTGGCAAAAATACGCTGAAAGGAGCATAACAAACTGAAATTAGCAGAAAGAAGTTAAAAGCAGCACAGAAATGTTGTACCAGTAGTTAGAAAAATTTTTAAAGGATCACAAAACAGCTGAAAAAAATACCTGAAATTAGCTGAAAGTAATTGGACATTTTTTTTTTTAATTTGCACAAGGAAGCTGAAAGAAGCTGAAGCAGAACAAAATGTGAAAGGAGCAGTAAAAGGTTGTAAACAGATCTAAAGATTTGAAGGATGTAAAATGAGCTCAATTCATTTCCTATGAGGAAAAAAAAAAGGCAGAAAAGGCTAAATACTTCAAAAAGCTAAAGTTGCACCAATGCCAAAAGTTGTAGCACCCTTATCCTGAAGGAGCTGAACATTTTGATATATGATTTGTTGAAATAGTACAAAAATTGTTGTAGAAAGATGCCAAAAAATGTACGGAAGAAAAATGCATCACAATTGTGCAAAGGCTGCATAAACATTCACACAATGAGTATAAATGCAATTGTCTAGTTGGTACAAACATTGTATAACGTGCTCATACGAAAGAAATGGACTGTATGTTAATTAGCTTGATGAAACTAATTTATTTGGGGGGAAAAACAGTAATATTAGAAAAATGAAACAAAAAAATACACCAGTGGACATTTTTACTCCTACTATCTTCCAGTTTAGCTCCCCTGTTGAAACCTAAACTATAAAACTACATCAAACTTCACATCTACAAGTAGACACATAGGACAGTCATAGCTACAGTCCAACTTATGTCTGTAATCCATCAGTAAAGGTAATTCCCCCCCCCCCCCCCCCCATTTCATCCAACACGCCAACCATCTGGTCTCAGAATGCGTACTGCATCACAGAGAAAAAACATGAAAATATATAGACCCTTCCATTTTACCATCACCTGAGGAGATGAGATAATACAGCATGAAAATAAATGATGTTGAAGGATGGAGAGGAGTGAAGGCAGAAGTCTAAAGCATCAGAACTGTATAAAAATCTAATCCAAGCAAGGCTGCTTTACCGTTTTGCAGCTGAACTTCCTGTTATTAGCGGTTTGATCCAAACCATTTGTATATTTGTGTATTTTGGTTGGGCTTTAATCAAGCATGCCTCAGAATGTGCTAAAGCAAAACACACAACAAGCTTTCAAAGATGACAAAATATAAACTTTGATTAACTGCCCTGATGAAGACAGCTTCACTTGAGCAGAGGATCAAGGCACAAACTGAGAACGTTCACTAAAATATGAAATTCCCCTCCACTGGGGGGACGTGATACCTTCATTCTTACCTTCCTCCCAACCCTGTGGACTTCCAGCATTCTTCTCGGTTTTGCCATCTTCCTGCAGGCCGCCTGTTGCCACTATCCTCCAGGAGAACTCTGGGGCATCCTTAAACTGCTGGTTGCATGTTCTTCTGTTTCCAGGACACTGGTTATCTAATAAAATGAGAGACATTTGGATAAAATATAAAATACTCCAAAAATAAATGAATAAAATAAGTACTAACAAGAATTAAGAAGATCACTTCCTCTGCAGTTATACTAAACATTGTTCATGCTAGAGCTGACTGGGAACGAGGAGTGGTGACAGGAGCAATTTGTTTGAAAACCACTAAACCAGTTGTATGAATATAAATTATAAAGGTTCTTCCAATTATCGAACAAAAATTAATTGCATTTACAAACAGGGGGAAAAGGAATAATTACTGAATGCCGCACATTTACTCTTTTTGATTAAAAATCCAAAGCTGAAGTAATTTAAAATACCTAAACAGACTCCGTAGCTCTCAAGGCTGAAAACTAAGTTTGCATATAATTGTCAGAGTTCCCCCTTCTGCGAATGGCTAAACAAGTTAAAGTTTTTTTAATAAAAAAGCTGGCTTTGGCCACCATGCAACCAAAAACAAATACTTCTTGTAAACATCTTTTAGGGCTCAAGAAGCGAATTGAAAACCTGTGACAATTTTTACTAACAAAATGAATGTGATCTAAATTAGACTGAGTTCAGCATGCAGAAATGGTAATAAAACACTGAACAAGCCTAAAAACCAAGGAATGTGAATTTATAAGAAACAGCACACAGATACTTTAATACAGTATGACCAAGTACTGAGAGTACAAATCAAGCCCCAATCATAATCCCTCCACCACTGTGCCAACTGTTGGCGTTTGTGGTGATCTGAGATCTGAAAGCCCCAATTATCATCCCTCCACCACCATGCCAACTGTTGGTGTTTGTGGTGATCTGAGATCTGAAAGCCCCAATCATCATCCCTCCACCACCGTGCCAACTGTTGGCGTTTGTGGTGTTCTGAGTTTAGTTTTATTGTATGAACGCTTATGAAGCATTCACACTATTGTGATCCATTTTGCTTCCATCCATTTTTCAGTACGATTCTCGTTCCACAATTTTTGTGCCATTTCAACATATCCTATATCAAAATGTTCAGAAGAAGGGTGCTATGACTTTTGGTATTGGTGCAACTTTTTTTTTTTTTTTTTTCAAAAAGCTAAAGAGCCTTTTCTGCCACTGCTGTTGCTCATAGATGAATTGAGCTCATTTTACATACTTCAAATCTTTAGATTTGTTTACAACCTTTTACTGCTCCTTTCACATTTTGTTCTGGTTCAGCTTCTTTCAGCTTCCTTGTGCAAATTTAAATATTATTTCCAGCTACTTTCAGCTAACTTTAGGAGTTTTTTTTTTTGACTGTTTTGTACTTAACATTGTTTCTACTAACTACAACATTTTTGTGCTTCTTCTAACTTCTTTCTGTTAACTTCAGCTTGCTATGCTCCTTTCAGCTCATTTCAGCAAGTTTCATATTTTCCTGCTATTTTAGCTACTATTTAGCTGTTTTATGCTAATTTTAGCTTTTTCAGCTAATTCCGCATTTTTGCACTCATAACGTTTTCAACCTACTTTGGCAAAAATGTGCTCTCTCCACTTTCTTCGTGTAATGTAAGCCCTTTTCTGCCATTTAATCTACCTTTCAGCTATATTGTTTGCTCATTTCAGCTTGTTATTAGCTAATTTCCAAATTTTTATGCTCACTTCTGTTCGTTTAAACCTAATTCAGTAAATATGTGTCCTTTCTACTCCCTTCTGCTAAATTAGGCTTGTTCTTCCATTTGAGCTACATTTCAGCACTTTTTTTTTTTAGCTTATTTCAGCTGTTTTTCAGCAAGTTCTTCTGCAATAAGCATTCACATTACATTTTTGCAGGAAATGCAGTTTCACTAGTTTCTATTATTCTGCTCAGCTTTCCAGTCAAACATCTCTACTTTGGTCTCATCTGTCTAAAGAACTTGTCTTGTAGTTTATTCAGATGCATCTTTGCAATCATAAGTTGTGAAATGTAAATTAAATTTCAAATATGTAGGCAACAAAATGTTGGAAATTGTTTTCACACCATATTAAATCACTTTATATTGATGCATCTTTTAAAATCTCTTTTTATGCATTTCCATAAATTCACTCCACAGACTGTTGAGCACATGTTCATACTTTGCTTCATCAATTTTAGCTCGCCCCTCAGCTCATAACCCTACATAATCCACCATTCCTCTCTGTCAAAGTATGTTTTTTTAAAAGCTTTTCCTGGAATCCATTCCCATCAAGCCTCATTTATTTAGTTGCTTTCTAATTGTACCATCATAAATTTTAACTTTTAATGTTCTAACTGAGGCCTTCATAGTCTGAGATTTAGTTTCTTGTTTTTTTTATTTTATTTTCTATAGCTTCAGAGCATTGCATAATCAGACCTGGGTGTGAATTTGCCGAGACTCCTGGAACGACTGGCAGTTGTCCTGAATGTTTTCCACTTGTGAATACTTTTTAGCTGCAAAATGATGAGCTTTAAATTATTTAGAAATTACTTTTCAGCCTTTTATATGCATGGGCAGCAACTGTTACTTCTCCAAGATTATTACTGAAACATTCCCTTAACATTTATATGTTAAATATTTATATTGTGGTATTTTGTTCCATAAAATGCAAAATGTGAGCTGGTATGACATTTTTTTTTTTTTACTATTATTTTTTATTTAAATCACTGAATCCTTGAATCCTAAAGTTCCACAAAAACAGAGATGGTAAAAATGTGTATGCGCTGGTTTTGTATTTTTGGCATAGTTGCTTTGAAATAACACATTTTGCTCATCCAAAGTTTCATTTACCTACATCTAGGAACCACTAAAGGCATGAAAAAAAGAAAAGAAATAATGTAATGGCTTTGCATCTCTTCAAATGTATTAAGGGCAATTAATTATTAATAAAAAAAAAGGTATTTTTCCTCACACTTGACTTGAAACGGAATTAGAATACAGAAATGTGTTGTTGCTGTTATATAAAATTCTGCTTAAATAAATAAAATAATTGTATCTGGTATATGTGGCCTGGTTCACTGTTTGCAAACCTCATGAAGACTTGTCCCTGTTGTTTGGTAAATCACTTCTGAGACAGCTTGGTCACTTTTAAATGACTTTTCACACCAACCCTCTGCAGGACATGAACTCAAGTGTTGTGCAAAAAGGTCACAATCATCGTTAGATCTTGACCACCAGCATGGAAATGTTTACTAATGATAACTCCCTGATGCTGATGGTAAAAAGCTAAACGTGATTCACATTTTATGTCATAGTTTTCTTTTATGCTGTTCTAAACGCTTAGAAAACAGCTTTTGTTCTACCATTAACGGGAGGAGACCCCACTATACTGAACAACCAATCTCTAAACTTCTTTATTCTTGTTCAGGTTTTAGAAAAATTGACAAACTCTCAAGTCAAGAAATATTTAGATTCTTTGAAAATCTTACCTCCCCAACAATCTGGTTTCATGAAACAACACAACGACTGCTTCGTTGAAGGTTTTTAATGTTGTTGTTGAAGCACTGGATGCTAAGGATTATTGTGCTGCACTTTAGACCGGTCTAAAGCTTTTGACACTGTGGACCATGACATCTTATGTCATAAGCTCTCTGAAATTGGTTTCTCACACCAATTATCTCTCAGATCGGATGCAATGTGTACAAAATAATGATACTTCTTCCAGCTATGCAACTGTCAACAATGGTGTACCACAAGGTTCAGTCTTAGGACCCACCCTCTTCACAATCTACATAAGTAATGTAGGTCACATCATTCTTGATGCATTCTTACATTTATATGCTGATGACGCAGATGTTTATTGTCGAGCTAGAACAGTTGCTAAGCTGTCCAGATGACCTGACTGAAAAATGCTGGATTGTATACCTGGATTATTGAGCATGGACTTTGTTAACAGTTGTTAAGGTTTTGCAGCTTTTACAGTCTGCTTTCAACATTATCAGTCAGATTTTTTTTCCGTCTCAAACTTGTGCTAAATGCTGACAAAACCAAAGGGATGTTGTTTTCAAACAGGAAGTTGGTACCAGCAGCCTTTCCTTTGATTTTATCGTTGAATGGTGTCCCTATTGAGTTTGTCGATTCTTATAAATTCTTGGGTATCTTGGTCGATGCACATCTCTCTTTTAAGTCTCATGTTGAAAACTTGGTAAAGAAACTGAAAGTAAAACAGTTTCTAAGTTTTATTAAACTCCATCAAGTGGTTCAGAAGATATCTTGCTAAAAGAGTTGACTGAATATCAGCAAATGTTAGTTGGCTGTGGCAGCCGACTTTGGATCTGGTTGTCTTCCAAATTTAGAAACTTATAGAAGTATATCCATCTAGCACTGGACAGGTTGCAACTTCATCACAGGGTTCATATGACAAACAAGCAAAAACATCACCCGTCTTCACCTTTAGCAAGAAATATTTTAGTTAAAAATGCTTCAGATTCAGGCACATTTGATTCTCAGAAGTTTAAACTCACAAGTTTAAAATACTTAAAAAATAAAAATTGATTTTTGGAAAATGTTATCTATGGGCTGAATCTAAGGTTTACAAGGTGCTTTAAATAATAAGGTCACATTGAGGCTTTTTGTACGTGCCCTTAAATTACCGCAGTCCACCTGAGCCTTTACAAAAAAAACACAGCAGACCTTCCAGAGCACTTAGTGCCATGAACCGTGAATCTTTTTATACTTGAAGCTTATCATTGGGCAAAAACACTGATTGCAACAGCTCATCACAGCCAGTGACCTTAAGAGTTGATGAGGTATGGAGAAAAAGAAAAGTTCACGGTTGCAGCAAAGGTTTTTTTCTATCTTTACTTGAGTAAAAGTCTGTGTAGAGGAATGAGAGTGTCCAGTTGTAGAAGGCTTTATTCTTGTGCTGAGCAGAGTGAAGCAGTTGTTCTGGCTCAAGTAGATAAAGACAAGCACATTCAATTTCAGTTTACACTGATTGAAACGCCCACCAGAGTCTGACCAGCTGGTTTTCAGTAATCACAGGCCTGCATACTGCTGCAGGGTGACACTTCCACAATACAACTCAACTTCAGGACATGTTCTTTTAG